GGCAGAGTTTGGGGCCCAGCAACCCAGACCCCTGAGGGAGGGGGGAGCTTCTGGATTCGGAGGCAGCTGTTGGTGACCCTGACTGGCTGGTACTGCTGTGGACCTCAGTTTCCCCGTTGGTCGAGAGGCAATTCCAGAAGAGTAGGGTTTCAATCCTCCCTATCCCTACTCCCTACGTAACTCTGAAAGGCAAGGTGCACCTGGACAGGAATCTCTGAGGCTTGACCTCTGACTTCCTAATACTCTATAGCAGGTAGCTGTACTCATGAGTAATTTCCTTCACCTCACAGTGCCTCAGCTGATTCATCTGGAATTTGTCCCTTATGAGCAAAGGGATATTAAAATGTCTCAGTAGAAAATGAGGCATATGGAGGAGGCTGTCCAGCCCCCCAGCCTGGAACAGAACCATAGATAATAAGCCTCCCAAGGCGGGGAGGGACCAAGTCAGACTTTTCCATACCAGCTGGAGCAGTCAGGAGGCCCTGAGGTGGTCAGCTGCAGTGAACCGTTGTAGGGGGAGGGGTGGGGACTGTGATTCAGCAGGGCACTGGAGGCCCAGATTGTCCTTTGGTCAGTGACCAGCACTTGGGGCTCCTCCCAGCCTCCTGAAAGTGAGGGAGAGGAAACTGGCTTTGGTGTCTGTATGTTGAAAAGGGTCTTTCAGCCACGGTGATGGGCCAGGCAATCTGCTCCATCATGGGCAATCTGCAGGGCCAAAATGCAGGTAGTGACTTATGTCCTGGTGGGCAGGGGCCTGAACTGCTGCATGGTGAAGCTGAGGGTGGAGGCTTAAGAAGGGGGGGGGTAGGTCTACATGCTTGAGAGGGTCCCCAAGGCTTACTTAGATTCTCACAGCTTATCCAGCCCCTGGAGCCTTCTCAACTTCTCAAAGGCTCTACAGAGACCCCTAGAGGTCAGGAGAGGGAAGACAGTAGTGAATTTTACTACTTAACAATCTTTCTTTAGTAACTTTAGAAAAAGTTGAAATGTTTACTTTAGCATCACTCAGAAATTTAGTCAGGAAGTCATGGGTATGATGATATGCTTATATGCTTTTTCATAATACACATGGAAATTCATAATTATGTAAATAAAATTTAAACATTTTTCAGTGGGCTTGAAGTACCTCCAACCGGGCATGGCTTGGCTTTGCATTGAGGAAACTGAAAAGCACTAGTCATGGGAATTTAAGTACTAAGCACTCACGGTTCACGTATAGTGGTATAAGCCAGTCATGCAACAAGTAAAGTGGGCTGGTCACAGAGGATCCTGCAGGATGTACCAGTGGCAAATGGGATATGGAAACCAGGTGGACAGAGACACCGTGAGTAAAGGAGTAGAGGCTATACGAGACCTGGCATGTACCTTTCTACTTCAGAGAAGAGAAAACTGAGGTCCAGATCCAGGCCCAGACAGGGGTCAGGGGAGGGCCCTGTTTCATTGACTGGCTGAGAGGACCATGTGGAGATCACAGTAGTGCATAAGATTTGCAGGTATACCTGGCCTGGAAGAGCTCTGCACACACATAATTGATGGTGCAAGTGCAAGGCCACTCACCCCAGCTGGCTGTCTCTTTTCTCTTTCTTCCCTCCTCACAGAGGAGTCTTCTCCCCCCAATTGGAACCAATTCCTCTCCCCCAACTCCAATATTTTTGCTTTGGGGGATTTCACCCTCTCCACAATCCATATGCCAGGAGGCGTCCCACTTGCACATGGTGATAAAGATGCAGGATAATAATATAGCTACTGACAAGTCACTTAGAAAAGACACGGAAATGTCAAGTTCCTGGAGGTCTGGTAAGCATCTTAAATCTGAAAGTCTGCCTTCCCCTTGACCTGAAGCCACGGTAAATCACAAGGCCACATGATTTAAATCACAAGGCCACATGATTCAAATCTGTGCCTAGTAAGGTCAGAGCGATTCAATGCTTTCACGCACTCAGGTCAAGGCCTTTGCGGGTATACATGCTTCAGTAGTGCTTCGGTGTCTCGTAAACGCTGTCAGTGTGCACCGCTGCACCGTGGGTTTGTAGGTGGGGTGGCGGGGCGAGAGGGAGGGGTGCCACTTGGTGTGGAGGCCCGGGCGACTGCCCCAAGGGTGTCAGGTAGTCGGCGCTGCGCAGTGCCTTTTGGCAGTGATGGAGAAGAGGAATTTCGGACGCCCCCTGGCGGGAGTTCTGGGGGCTGGACGCACTCCATCTTCTCTAGGGCACCTCGGAGCTCCAGTGGCCCTCGCGTAGCCGAGCCCGCGCGGTAGTCAGCAAACCCAGATAAAGTGGGGAGGAGCAGAGCTCGGTCTGGCTCCGCTCGCCCCTTCACCGCCTGCCTCAAGTGGAGCCCCCAGCTCCACTCCCTGCGCTCCGCCGAGGTCTTGAAGGGTCAGGTCCATGGCCCCAGCGTAAGCTCTCGGAGACCTGAGGAGCTGGCCTGGGGCCTCGGGGCCCACACAAACCCAGGAAGGGGTTACAATGAGATGGGCGCCAAGACCCGGGGTAACTGCAAGGGCTGCTGACAGCGAGGCCCCGCTACCCCGCGCCCCGCACCTCCCGCTGGGGGCGCGTCCAAGAGGCCCCGCCCCTGTCCCCGCCCCTCGGTGGGGGGCTGTGATTAGCCAGGTCGCTGTCGTCCCGCAGACAGAGCCACAGCTGCGGTCGCCTTCTGAGACTCACCTGGTCAGGTTCCGCCGTCGCTGCCATGCCCCGCGGAAGCCGTAGCGCGGCCGCCCGGCCAGCCAGGTGTGAGGGGGATAGGGGCCCTCTGGAGAGGGGGCTCGGGACGCTCGGCTTCTCCCAAGGGCACTTGACCTTGGCAGCTGCTGCGCCATCTTGGCTGGGGGAAGGGTGGGTGCCGCAACTCTTTGACGGTGGTCGCGCTCCCCGCCGGCAGTGGGGGAGGGTGCGTTTCCAGAAACCGCAGGTCAGTCGGGCCCCTGGGCGGAGGTCCGTCCAGGATTAACCCTGCTGCCTCCCACTCAGCAGCCGCACCGCTGCACCTTCTGCCCACCCGCCAGCTCACCCACCGCCCTCGGCTGCGGCTCCGGTCTCTGCCCCAGCGAGCCAGCCGGGTCTCATGGCGCAGATGGCGTCCACAGCTGCGGGGGTAGCCGTGGGCTCGGCCGTGGGACACGTCGTGGGCAGCGCCCTGACCGGAGCTTTCAGCGGGGGGAGCTCAGAGCCAGCTCAACCGGCGGCTCAGCAGGTGAGTAACTGACGGGAGGAATCAAGGTCTTCTTTTAAGGTCACTTACCAGGGAGAGTGTCACATACCAGCCAACAGCGTCCCGCTGTTCAGAGCTACCTCAGACCTGGGACTTTTCCCCAGGAGGGCCTTACTCGTCTTCACTCTGCGGGTCACCCTCCTGTCACTCACAGGCAGATTCTCCCCTCTTTCCCTTGAGGCCAAGGTCCTTGACTCCACCAGGGACAGAAACCTACCAGCCTATGAAGGACCGGCTCAGAGATTTGCCCAAGGGCAGGAGAGGGATACTGAGACCCTGATCACTTAAATCCCAGGGCCAGTTATTCCAGGGTCTGTTTCCTTCTAGCTGACCCACCTTGGTTGCCTAAACCCACTCCCCAGTCCTGAGCCAAACTTGGGCATAGTAGTAGGGTCTGGGGTCATAGGATCAGTATGACTGAGCCAGGAAGGTGCTAGAATTTGTGGGAGTAGAGCTCAGACTCTAATGTACTAGCAGAGCAATAGGCTTTTATAGAACTTTTTCCTACCTCCTCCTCCCCACTTGCCCAAGTACTCATTATGAGACAGCAGGGAAATGCTGCACTAGCATCAGCTTCAAGAGGGCTGTGGCATACCCTGTTTAAGGAATAGAGTAGCTGAGTCTGCTCTCCCTGTTACTCAGCCACCTATAGACCCTTGCCAGGGGCAGCCAGTTCCCAGCTTTGGAACCTACATGAGTGACAACCTGGAACAGACTTTGCTATCTCCTGTGCCATACCCTAGGTGCCAGCCCGTGCCAGCCCCCAGCCCCTGCAATTGGGGCCCTGTGCTTATGAGATCAAGCAATTCCTGGACTGTTCAACCAATCAGCGTGACCTGTCCCTGTGTGAGGGCTTCAGCGAGGCCCTGAAGCAGTGCAAGTACAACCATGGTGAGAGACTGAGCTCTACCCGGGTGGGAAACAGGAGGGGCAGTCCCTTTTCCTGCACCCACAGGCTGACCACTGGGCTGTACCACCCTTCCTTCTGTAGGTCTGAGCTCCCTGCCCTGAAGAGGAAGTGCAAATTCAGGGGCCAGCCCTGCACCTACCTGCACCCCTCACCGACAGCTGGACCACGATGTCAGATTGTACCCACGTAGTTGGGATTGGGAGTGGAAGGGTTTTCTCACCCCATAGATGACCTGAGACAAAAGTGTGCAATTAAAAAAGTTTATTTTAGACTGGAGCTTGATATGTGTCTGCTCACTGGCTTGCTGATGAGGCCGTGGGGGAAGGGGGGAATGGATGTGGGATGCTTCACTTTAACTTGACTTTCTGAATAGGGAGGGAGGACCCCTGTTGTAATCCAGTTGCCTAGAGCACTCCAGAGGGAGATGGTGAAGCATTAGCAGGTGGTCCCATCTGACTCTGGGGGCTGGAATCCTAGGAGAGCCTGTTGTCTCCTTTTTCAGTGATGCCTGCCATCTCTGCCTTTCTTATCTCTGCTTTGGGTGCCTTTTTACTGTATCCATATCTTAGGAGCCCTAGAGGCCTCTCATCTGTGAGTCTTGCCCAAGGTCATGTCTGTGACCTTGCCCTTTTTGCTGATGCAACTTCTCAGTAATTCCAGATTCTGCAAGAGTAGTGCTGCTGACTTGTCGTCTGTTTGGACCTGATCACTCCAGGCAGAGTTCACGGCCAGCCCCCTTGAATCTGAGTCCAGCTCAGCTACTTGGCTTGGTGTTCCAGGTCACGGGGTCGGCCAGAATGAAAGAGAGGCCCTTCAAACCTAGTGCAGACCATGCCATCACTTGCTATACACGGCTGCCTTCACTGAGTTCATTTAGTGCTTGATATTGAATGCCTGCTATATACCAAACACTATCCAACATTTCTTGGGCACTATGACATTCCTGCTCTTGGGCTGATGTACTTCAGTGGGGGTATAGATAACCTGTCCCCTGGTATACTGAGTTCCACCTTTTAGGCATGTGTGGAAGGGTTGAAGGGGGGATGTGGTAATGGGATTCCTCTTCTCTTAATACCAGTGTCTGATCCCTAAGTACATATCTCACTTCTGGTTGCAAGTGTACCCCCCCCTCCCCCAGTTGTCAGTGTGCCCTGCATACCCCAGCCTATGGGTTACCTTGCTCCTGGTGGCCATGCCAAGTGTCTGTCTCCTCTAACCATCACCCTTGGAGGGTAGGCCTTGTAGCCAGGAGCTAGTGCAGCTCTTCTGGAAAGCCTGGAAAGTCTTGCCTGTTAGGGTTGGGGAGGAGGGATGCTCTTCACCTGGGGCTCGATCTTGACCCTTACCTGCAGTCATCCTGTTTCTTCAGCAGGGACCTTTGACTCGTCTCCTCCCTTTCCTAACCAGAGCAAGGAATGGAGCTAAGGGGTTAGGACTGGTGCCTACCTCTATCCATCTTTAGAGACGCATGACGCATGTCTCATGCATCTAACCTGCCTTTGGCGTCCATCTTCTTAACCTTGAGAGGATCTGCAGTCTACAACTGTCACCTGAGTTTCAGGTGCCCAAATGCTCCCTGAATTTGACGGCCACTGACTGAATAGCTAAGAAATTGTTAAAAACATGCCCCTGGGGTGGGGGGCCCCATGCAAGTTTTCCAAGTCTACCTGAGGTTTTCCCCTTAGCGACTTACTCTAGACCCTTACTGTGGTTCCCACAGAGACACTTCCCCCAATTTTCCATTCCCTTACACATGTGCATCCCTCCTTCCCAACACTTTGCTGACCCAAGCTGTTTATCCCCCTTTTCCCCCGGGGGGACTCCAGTGGGGACTCAAGGGCAGAGGGGAGCATACTTCTGAGTATACCATCCTTCCTTAATCTGCCAGGTCAGGGGAATATACTTAATATAAACATCACCCTAACAAACATGGCTTTAGGGGATGGAGAAGACAGATATGAGGGTTTTGACCTCCCAACCCTCAACTTCCCCACTAAAAAGGGGCTTGGGTCTGAGATCTCTTTGTGGATAGAGCTCTCCAGGGGAATGGATATGTATAACTGGGTGATGAGTGAGTGGGCCTAGACATAGGACCTCACTTGACACCAAAGTTTTGACACCAGCCTAGAGAGGGTTTCCTCCTAACTTCCAAGTTGGTCTCCATGGCAGTAAGAACAACCAAGATAACTAGGAAGGAAATGTACTCCTGTCCCCCCACACTGGTGGGGGTGGGGTACAGGCTATACCTGAGGCAGGGCTATATAAGGTCAGGCCCATAGTGGGGATGTCAGCATTGGAGGCCAGGGGTGTCCAGAGACCACATGCCTCACCAGTAGACCCAAAGCTCCCAGGCTGAAAGTGGGGTGCTGACCCTTGGAAAATCCCCACTGTGAGCTGGTGACCCTGACTGTGGCGTAGGGATGGGATTCTCTAGTCTTGTAGGGAACCAATTCAAAGCCCTCTTTCCCCTTCTCTCTTTCCTTCCGCCTTCCTCCTAATTCCCAACTTCCTCTCTTTTCTTCTGTCCTCCCTACAAACCTCCAGTCAAGTTTATTTATGTATAATTTACATACAGTACAATTTACCCATTTTCATGTGACATCATATAGAACCATCATAACAGTCAGGAAGATTCAAAGCATGTTCACCACTTTCCTGCAAAGTTCCTTCATGCTTTTCTGCAGTAGGCACTAGCCCATGGCAACCTGGTGATGTTTTTGGCCCCTGTCTTTTCCAGAATGTTGTATGAAGGGAATCATACAATATGGAGCTTTTTGAGTCTGGCTTTATCTTTTTTTTTTTTTTAAGATTTATTTATTTATACATACAGAACTGGGGTACAGGCCAGAGGTGCCAGGGCAGTGAGAGGAAGACAGAGTGGGAGGCATAATAGGCAGATCAAGGAAGTACACTGCTAAGGGGAGCAGCGGGGATTGGGGGGTGTCACTTCCCTGGACAGGGGTCAACTCGTGCTGAAAAGTTGCAACTAGCTTCATAGTGCTGTGCTTTAACCCATTGTGCCAACAAGAAGGGCCTGCTTTTTTTTTTTTTTAGGATTTATTTATGTGTAGAAGAACTGGGGTGTAGACTGAAGTATGGGGGACAGGTAGTGAGAGGATTTACCAGAGACAGAGTGGGAAGTAGAACAGGCAGAATTACTGGAATATACTGCTGAAGGGAGCAGCAGGCGAGACAGGAAAGATCTGCATGGAGTCTGGCTTCATTCAGTCCTGGTGATAACACTTGAGGTTCCCCTTCTTTCCCTTCTTTTCATATGTGGCCTCCTTTTTTTTTTTTCAAGACTTTTATTTATTTATGCATATAGAACTGAGTACAAGCCAGAGGTGCAGGGGCAGTGAGAGGATTCACCAGAGACAGAGCAGGGAGCAGAACAGGCAGATCGACGAAGTACACTGCTGAGGGGAGCAGTGGGTAGGTCAGGAGAGGCCTGCCACACCATGTGGGTCACCTCCAAGGTGGGGAATCGAACTCGCACTGAGGTGGCTGCAGCTGGCTTGCAGGGCTGCGTCCTAACCCGCTGTGCCACCAGGGAGGGCCCCATATGTGGCC